CCTCCGCGCAGCACCGGAGGCTGCAGCCGGCCTGGCCCGGCTCCTGTGTGGGTGTTTGTATTTGGACACCCTCCTCCCCGCCCGCCACCCCTCCCTGCCCTGGCGGCTTCCAGCCCCCTCCCACCCCCTGCTGTACCTGCCGGCTCAGCGGCCTCTCTTCCTCCTGGTAGTGTGTCCAGCCCCTGCCTGCTCCTCTGTCCAGGGCGCCAGCAGGAGCTGCCCTCCCTCCCCTACCAGTGGCCGCCTCCGCCCCTCTCCCTTCCACCCCGGTCCCTGCCCTGGACTCTGCAAACATGAGGGGCCTGGCCTGCCTCCTTGGTGAGTGACCTGTCCTCCTCGGGGACTCGGCCTGGGCCCCCACTCTGACCCCTGAGCCCCTCCAGTGTGGGCACCCAGGTTGCTGGTGCCTTGGGTGACCCGACCTCTGGTCTGCCCTGCTCATGCCTCAGGGTCCTGGCCTGCATGCCTGCCCCACCCCTTAGCAACCTGAACACAAAGGCCTGGCCCCAGCCTGACTGCAGGGACCCTGGGGTGCAGTGTCCCACGGACCTGTCTTATCCAGGCCTCCTGCCCGGGTCTGGGGTCTCTGCTGTGGGCTCCGACCTGAGGTGTGGGAACTGTGTGTGTGTCGGGGTATCAAGACCAGGGACCTGCACTGAGGGGGGTGCCATGGCCTGCCCCTCACTGTCCACCCGCCCTCCCTTCCAGTGGCCCTGGTGGGGATCCAGGCTCTCGGTAAGTGCCCAGACTCTCCTCCCATCAGCCTCTTCCAGCTGCAGCCTCCCATCTGCCTGCCTCAGGCCTCACGCTCCTCTGGCCACCCCCATTCCTCGGGCCATGACCTGTGCCCTCGGCCACCACTTCCTCCTAGGCCCCTGGGCATCCGGCCTTCTATGGGGACCTTCCTGAGCACCCAGGAGCCAGGGCCAGGGCCAGGGTGGCCGGCCTCCAGGCTGGCGCTGAGACAGCTCCGGCTTCCTGTCACCCTGGCTCTGGGACCTCAGGGCACTGCTCCCTGGCCACAGCCTCCCCTCTGTCCCCCAGAGCGCCTGCGCCTGGCCGACGGCCCCCACGGCTGCGCCGGCCGCCTGGAGGTGTGGCACGGTGGACGCTGGGGCACGGTGTGTGACGACGGCTGGGACCGGCCTCCAGGCTGGCGCTGAGACAGCTCCGGCTTCCTGTCACCCTGGCTCTGGGACCTCAGGGCACTGCTCCCTGGCCACAGCCTCCCCTCTGTCCCCCAGAGCGCCTGCGCCTGGCCGACGGCCCCCACGGCTGCGCCGGCCGCCTGGAGGTGTGGCACGGTGGACGCTGGGGCACGGTGTGTGACGACGGCTGGGACCTGCGTGACTTCTTCGGGGAGGGTACGGGGCCCGTGTGGCTGAGCGAGCTGGCCTGCCGGGGCGGCGAGGGGCAGCTGGACCTCTGCCCCCACCGGGGCTGGAAGGCCCACATCTGCTCCCACGAGGAGGATGCCGGCGCTGTCTGTGCAGGTGAGGTCCGCGCCCTTCCTGGGGACAGTGCCGTGAGGACCGTGCTGCGGGGATGGCAGGGTGGTTCCTTGGTACAGAGCTTCTGGTGCCCAGCAGTCCAGAGCCGTCCACTGCTGACCCCGCTGCAGCCAGGCTCCTGCCTCTGGTCCCAGGTGTGCCCTGAGCTCCCCCAGGGACTGGCACGACCCGCCTCCTCTGCTCACACCCCTGCTCTCAATGCAGGCCAGCGCGTAGCCAACTCCAGGGACGGCTCGGCCTCCCTCGTGGAGGGGGAGCCATGGCCTGGGCTGTCTGGGGAGCTGAGCCCCAGCTCGGAGGAGCCGCCCGCCACTCACGGTGAGCCCAGATTGGCCATGTGCCCACCTGCGTTCCCCTCCACCTTCCGCCATGGGGGAGAGGACGCCCTAAAGGCTTCCCCGGGAGTCCTCACTGGGCACCCCTGGACAGGAGACCCTGGCCCCGGGTGGGGGGCTGGGCAGCTGAGCCCGAACTCCCCACTGCCTCCTCTCCCAGCCCCCCGCCCAGCTGGGAGTCCTCAGAGTGGCTCCAGGAAGAAGAGTCCGCGGCCGCCCAAGCAGCCCAAGTCCACCCGGGCCCCTTTGCTGGTGACAGGGGGCCCCCGCCAGGGTAAGTCTGCTGCAGCCCAAATCTGGTGCCCTGTGACTCCAGGCTCAGCCAGAGGTGAGCTGGTGCCCTCTTCCTGTCACGTGGCCCCGAGGTCCCAGCCTTCTCTGCCTCCCCCTTCGGGACTCCCCCAGGCCCAGGCCCCCCCGTGTGTCCTGCCTGGCCAAGGCCGCGGCTCGCCCCACTGGGCAGGCCGACAGGCAGGTCTCAGGCTGCTGCCCACTCCAGGCCTGTTTCCCAGTGGAAAGCGAGATGCAGGGCGCTGGAACGAGCTCCTGCCGCAGACGGGGCTCTCAGGCGGGCGCTGGGGCACGGTGTGTGACGACGGCTGGGACCTGCGTGACGCCGCCGTGGCCTGCCGAGAGCTGGGCTGCGGGGGGGCGCTGGCCGCCCCCGGGGGCGCCAGGTTCGGACCTGGTGCAGGGCCCGTGTGGATGGACGACGTGGGCTGTGGGGGAGGAGAGCAGGCCCTCCGCGACTGTCCCCGCAGTCCCTGGGGCCGCAGCAACTGCGACCACAGCGAGGATGCTGGGCTGGTCTGCACTGGTAAGTGCCCATACCCTGCAACAGCGGCTCCCCGGGCAGGTCGGAGGGGCAGGGGTTGAGGCCCCGGGGCCAAGGCCAGTGGCCAGCTCTCTAGCCTCAGCTCCCTACGGGGCCAGGTGCCCGGGCGAAGAATCCCCACCTGCTTCCAGGCTTGTGTCTCATCCCCAAGAGCGGGGAGCTACCTGCCCTCTGCCACACCCAGGGCCGCCCTCGCTGGTGCCCTCCCAGCCTCCTCCCCGAAGCCTCTCAGCTGGGTCCTGGCCTCTGCCCGCCCACCTCCACGCAAGGTTGGCTGGTCTCCTCGTGGTCCTCTCTCCCACCCCTTAGACCGCTGGTTTACTGTCCCAGGGCCTGTGTGGACCAGGTGACCAGAGGCAGGCAGGGGTCTGATTCTCTGGGCAGGGCTGGGGTCCAGCTTGCCCCGTATGGGGTGGAGGGGTGGCCTCCACGTCCTCCCTGAGGCCAGCAGGAGGTGGCACTCAACAAGGGGGGCTCCCACTGCCACTCTCCCGGGGTCCTGGGCGGTGGCCCAGACATCTCAGTTGTCGCGACTGGGGGGTGGTGGCATGTGGTGGGAAGGGGGTGCTGCACTGGCAGCCCCACCCCTAACTCAGTGACGCCAAGGCTGCAAGTCCTGCTTTACAGGACTGTCATGCTGCACAGGAGTGGCAGGCACGGGGGTGGCCACAGTGTCCCCAGCACTCCCGCCCCAGCCTAGGGTAGCAGGGACACGGGGGGTGGGAGAGGACAGCAGAGCATGACTCTAGCTGTTGATTTTCCATCTTGAACCCTTGTACACAAATCTGCTTTCGGCTTCGTCTCGGGGCGAAGTCCGGCCACATGGGACAGTCCCAGCCCGTGCGCCCCACTTTTCTGCTAGCTGCGTCCGAGCCAGTGCACCCCACTTTCCCGCTATGTCCCAACCCTTTGTCCCGCTTTCCTCCTCCCTGCACCCAGCCCGTGTGAGCCGTCGCCCGCACCCACGCAGCCGCCTGGCCCCGTCCCCACCCTCCTCTCTCTGACAGGCCCAGCTCCGAGGCTGCGCCTGGCCGATGGCCCCCATGGGTGCGCCGGCCGCCTGGAGGTCTGGCACGGAGGGCGCTGGGGGTCAGTCTGTGACGACGCCTGGGACCTGCGTGACGCCGCCGTGGCCTGCCGGGAGCTGGGCTGTGGGGGGGCGCTGGCTGCCCCCGGGGGTGCCTTCTTTGGGGAGGGGGTTGGCCCCATCATCCTGGATGACCTCCGGTGTCGGGGCAACGAGACGGCCTTGCGATTCTGCCCAGCACGGCCCTGGGGCCAGCATGACTGTCACCATCGCGAAGACGCCGGGGCTGTGTGTGACGGTGAGTGGGGAGGGGAGGGTGGGACCCAGAGTGGAGGGGCCTGGAGTGGGGACTGGTCCTGACGCAGCTTTCACTCCCTCTGTCCGGCTTCTCCCTTCTGTTTTACACTCCCCTGGGAAAACCTCCGCTGTGGCTCTCGGCTGGGGGCGTGCCCCCAAGGGGACATGGGGCAGTGTGCGGGACATGCACAGTGCTCGCCGCCAGGCTGCACTTAGTGGGCCAGGGAGGGGGCGCTCGGCCTGCTGTGGTGCCCAGGGCAGAGCGAGGTCCGGCCTCAGCAGCATTGGCCCTGCCTGGCTGCCTCCCGGTGCCGTCGAAGGCCAGCCTTCTCTGTATAATGCCACCGCATTCTGTCCTCTTGTGCTTTCCCCCACAAGTTGTCAGACGTGTGCCCCTGACAGAGAAACAGAGAGGGAGAAAGCCCCCCACCCTGTCGCGCTTCGGGGACACACGCACAAACACACACCCAGTGTGGAGTCAGAATTCATGTGGCTCCCTGTACCCTAGGCTGTGGGTTGCCCCTCTCTTGTGCATTCGAAAGAAAAACGTTTTTCATTTTCTGTGACCAGAGAAAGCAGCACCTCAGCACAGTCTCTGCTCCGACCCACCCCAGCTTCAGCCAGCCCCAGCTCCCTGGGCACAGTGTGCCTGGGGTGCCAGCCCAGAGAGGTCTCTGGGTGCGTGCCCGGAGCCTCCCTGCATGGGTCGGCCTTGCGGAGCACCAGTCTTGGGGCTGGCTGCCCTCTTCCCTCCCTCCTGCACCCCCAGGCCAGGGACACGGAAGGCTATCTGCAAACATGGGTGGGCAGGCGGCTGCAGCAGGAAAGGAGCGTGAGCCTGCAGGAGGGCTGAGCCGGGAGGGGCAGGCCTGTGGGGTGCGGGCTGCCCAGCAGCTGGGTGAGTGGCAGTCACCTCTTTCTCCAGGCATGCCTCTCGGTTACGTGCCCCCCACGGCCCCGGAGGCAGGCAGCAACAGCTCGGCACCCAGGCCCCTGCCTGCCACGGCAAGTCAGGCCCCAGGGACAGCAGGACCTTCCTCACCTCCAGCCTCTCCTACTGTTCCTCCAGAGCCCGGGCCAGAAGCTGGTGAGTCCCTTGTCGTTTCCCCAGGAAGCAGGGGCCTCACTTGTCCTCACACCCCCAACTCTGAGATGGTCTCCCAGGGATCTTCTTGCAGAGGAAGGTGGGGAACAGGAGCCCAGACCCCTTGCTCAGGACCGGGGCTTCGTTCAGTGTTTGGCTGTGACACTGGCCTGAAGTGCGTGACCATTTTAAAATAAGGGACCTCACCTTTTCATTATTGACTGGGCCTTACGAATCCCGTAGCTGGTCCCAGAGAGGAGAAGGGATGGCGTCCCGAGTGCTCTGTCAGGCTTCCGGCAGCAGGTGCAGGCACCTGGCTCCAAGGAGCAGCCCTGCCCAAGGGCCTCCTTCACGTCCCGACTCTGGTCCGTGAGCAGACGGGGTAAGCAGCTCCGCCTACCTCCTCCCCCCTACCGAAGGGCCACATCTACTGATGGCCGTGGTTTCAGAGCATAGCCGATGCGGGGACGTTCCAAGAAGCGCACTGTCAGGCCATCTTGGTGTGTGACACCCCTGGGCCCGAAGGCAGAGTCTAAGGCTCCACTGTCTGTGCAGTCCAGCACAGGCCACAGAGCCACTGTGCCACACAGGCCCGGGCAGGACCACGCGGGACCACGCGGGCCCGTGCGGGCCCGTGCAGGCTTCCTCCCTGTTCAGGCGCAGCAAGGCCAACAGATGGCTTGAAAACACGCCAGACGTGGGCACACGTGCATGCCCCCCAGTCCTGACAGGACGGAGCGGGGGGACTGTGGTGCAACCGGCCCCATTGGAAGGTGCTTGCTCTCGCTCGCCCTTTCTCTCTCTCATGTGCACCTCTGGCAATAGAAAAAAATACAGAGAATAAAAAGGCATGACAGATACGGGTGTCTCCTCGAGGCTGGCAAGGCTGAACCAGAGCAGCTGGGCTCCCTGGGCCTCTGTCCCTGCCGGCCTCTGTGCCCTCCTGGGCGGTGGCAGTGGGGCCCACGTGACAGAGCGTGTGCGGCTCCTGCCGTCTGTCCACGCTCCTCCAAGGCCCCTTGCGTCGTGACAGCGTGTGCGGCTCCTGCCGGCTGTCCACGCTCCTCCAAGGCCCCTTGCGTCTTACTCTGGGTGGCGCTTGCAGACCCCGTAGCACAGGTGCTGGGGGCCTCCCTGTGGCAAACGAGGCCACTCGGGTCCCACACGGAAAAACCGGATTCGGGCAAGGCCGTTTATTCCAGAGCCCACACCCCCTTTTAGCAAACGCTGTGGTAAACTTTGCGTAAAATAAAATTTGCCTTTTTTTAAAAAAATTGCCAGAGGGTGCACTTGTTGGAGAGCGGAGAGAGAGCGTGAGACAGCGCTCTGTGGGAGACACCACGCCGCACCCCCTTCACCTTTCGGGCCTGCACACGTGCGTCTTTCAAGGTGCCCAGGCCCAATGGCCGTGTGGGTCCTGTCGCCTTAACCACCACAGCAGCAGCAGGGCCCAGGCTGACCATTCTCCCCGCCCCCAGGAGAAACGCATGCTTGCCAGGGAGAGGGGAAGCACCCTCAACGGGGTTTGGTCACACCACGATCCCTCCCCCCTTTCTCTATCCTGCAGGGATTTGGGGCACGTGTGCACGCATGCACACGCGTACACCACACTCACACGTGCGGCATATGTCTTAGCTGCTGGGGCCGGGATTCGGCCTGCAGTTGGCCATGTGGGATCTGGCTCTCAACCACCAGGCTCCAGAGCTAGCCACTGTCATTTTAGAGTTTGTTTATTTCTCCCGCATGTGTGAGACAGAGACGGCACCTCGGACAGGGCCTGGACTCCATGACCTACTCCAGCCTCAGTTAGTCTGGGGGTCACAGGCGCACACACGCCTGGCATGGCAGGGAGGCCTCCGGATGCAAACCCAGAGTCTTTCATGTGGCTCAGCCCTACAGGGCATCTGGCCAATGTGCCTGGCCTTCAAACAACAAGTAATTCCACAAAAACCGTATTAAACCAGCAACCATGACAGAAGATTGAAGCTGGTGCAGGAAAAGGCTCTGGATCCAGGTTTTAAAAACCGAGGCGAAATTCATGGGACATAAAGCGAACCATTTGGTACATTAGAATATTATGCAACTACCACCTCCATCTAGCTCTGAAACATTTTTATTCTGTTTGTTTTTTTGCCACAGGGTGTATGTGCTCGCCAGAGAGAGACAGAGACAGGGAAAGTGAGAGATCACCCCCCAGAGGAGATGGCCATGCCGCAGTCCCTTCTCCTCCATTCTAGGGACTTGGGCACGCACGCACACGACCAGATGAGTTTCAAGCTGCTGGTTCAGGCTCAAACCACTGTCGGTCATTTGGGAATCCAGCGCCTTAGCTACCACGCCACCTGCTGGCCCCTCTGAGACATTTTTAAAGTTTACTTATTTATTCTATGAGAGAGCATGGTACCCCCAACTGGGTCTTCACATCATAGTCCTCTCCCAGCCTCGCCAGTCCCCATCATGGGAATATACCTGCCTGCCGTGTGTTGGAGGCCTCGGGTTGTGAACCTGGGACCCTCCTATGTGAGTCGAGTTGCATTACCGCTGTGCCACTGTCTGCCCTTAGTTACGGAACATTTTTTTTCTTTTTTTGGAGAGGTTTTTGCTATAGGGCGCGTGCGCTCGCCAGACAGACATAGAGACAGAAAGCGAGAAATCATCCCCCCAGGGGGGATGGCCACGCCGCAATCCCTTCTCCATTCTCCTCTCGGGATCTTGGGCACGCACACACACGCGCCCGGCGTGAGTTTAAGCCACCGGGTCCGGGACGTGAACCGCGGTCGACTACGTGGGAGTCCAGCGACATAGCCATTACGCTAACTGCTGGTTCCCAGTTACAGAACATTTTCATTACCCCGACAGAAGCCGCATTGAACAACCACTCCCCATTTCCTCTCTCCTAAGCCCCTGGCAACCACTGCTATGCTCCTGCTTCCTGTCTATGGCTGGCCCACCCTGGGTCCTTCCCACGCGTGCAGTTGCGTCGTGCGCAACCCTTCACGTCTGGCTTCTCTCTGCACTGTCTTTAGGGTCCGCTCCTATTCTTTTTTTTTTTTTTTTTTTGAGAGAGAGATTTTTGCTATAGGGTGTGTGCTCTCATCAGAGAGAGAGAATTAGAAAGTGAGAGATCGCCCCCCACCCAGAGGGTGTGGTCATGCCTAATCCCTTCTCTTCCAGTCTCCTGTTGGGATTATGGGCACACACATACACATGCACCTGCGATGAGCTTTCGGCCACTGGGTCTGGGACTCGAACCGTGGGTGACTCTGTGGGAGTCCAGCCATGTAACCATTATGCCACCTGCTGGCCCCACTTCATTCCTCTTAAATAACTCAATGATACTCCATTACATGGATATGTCACTCTTGTGTGTGTGTGGTAAGAACACTTACTGCGAGATCTACCCTCTTACCGAAGTGTGTTTCTTCATTTTAGTTCTGCTATAGGAACTAGTGTGCACTAGCCAGAGAGAACGCGACAGAGACAGTGAGGAATCACCTAGGCGGGATGGCCATGCCACAGTCCTCTCTCCTTCAGTTTCCTCTTAGGATTTTGGGCACACACACATGCACGCACACACGGGATCTTCAAGGTGCCAGGTTCAGGACTTGAACCACGCAGTTGGCCGTATGGAATCCAACCGCCTTAACCTTCACGGCGTCTGCTGCCCTACTCTTAACAAAGTCGTAAGTGTACATTGCTGTTAATCGTAAGCACGATGTTGCACAGCAGATTTCTGGAGCTTATCATCTTTTTTTCTTAAGAATTATTTTATTCAACCTTATTTATTTATTTCAGTTTGAAAGGGAGGGAGAGAGAGGGGGAGAGAGAGGGGGAGAGAGGGGGAAAGAGAGAGGGGGAGAGAGAGGAGGGGAGAGAGAGAGGGGGGTT